AGCAAAAACAGAGTTAAGTCTTAAGTTGAACACTTCTCTCCCGAGTCCCGACAGCTAAAGGCAGGTAACCAGGAATATCTAAAAATAAACACTGCCCATCTCCTCTCAAGAGACTACACGATTAAAGCAGCCTTACGAATCGCACCACGGGGTGGAAAAAGACATACATAGAAATAAGCAATGGAGTCTGCTGACCTAATACTGAATAGCTAAAATACACTGTGAGATGTTTGAGCATTCGTTTCCACGTCGAGTAAAATAGTTGTATACAAAAAGAGAGAAAGGAAAGACAAAAAAAAGTAAACAGCCCTTTGGGCACTTAAGTCAAATCCTCTAAACTCAAAATGGCTACTACGAATCTCTATGCACAGAAATTCATCCCAGTGTTTCCTGCTTGTATATTCAGCCTTATTCAAGTAGTACTGCATGAGATTTCATTCGATTTCCTATTAAGTCGTACCGCATTATTAAATTCCATTCGCAGAAGAAGATTCATTTTGGAGTTGATCGCATTGGTGCGTAAATGAGCTAAAAGAGAGAAACATCACACTGAAAATATTCAGATAAATCTGAATTCTAAGAGCAAATCATACATTCACCATCGGTTAAACTAAACTAGCACATGCTCGAGTAGCTTTCACTTTAGGTAGCAGATCAGCAGCTGTTAGTGAACTCTAGAGACAGTTAACATCCTTCAGAAATAGGCTACTAAAGTCATCATTAATTCAAATAACACAAACTTTGCTATGTCATCAGATGAGATGTGATGGATGGCAAATGGTAGATTACAATGCAGTTTACTTAAAGGCACAATATGTAAGATTTTTTTATTAAAATATCCAAAAACCACTAGAACAGTGTTATATATTTTGCTGACTTGTGTACTTACATTATCCCAAATGTTTCGAAGAATGTTTAAATCCAGAGAAATAAGCAATTTTAACTAGTGACACGGACCGTGTCCATAGTGTCATTGTGTTGCCTGCTAATGACGTCATAACACCTCGATTTCCGGTTTTGTTTTGTAGAAAACATG